TTCTATTTTACTACAAAATCTTTTTATATGCAGAGTTTGATATTATTTATTAAATTATACGATATACAAAATTTTTTATATCAACAAATTATATTTTTTACATTTCTGTCTCTCTATTTTTTTAATTTATTCTGTTCTTCTTTCTTGAATTTTTTAATTTTACCTTTTTCCTCATATTCTGCAGGATGAATCACGTTTTACGAGATGTCCCTTAGACATCTTGCTAAGACAACTTACTTTTCTTAATGAATATTTAGTTCATACAGAATGTATGTGCGTAATCAACATTAATGTACGCTAAGGGCTGCGCGTGTATCTATTCGTGGCCATCTCATATGATCCAGCTGAAGATAATCAAATATCCGACGCCAAAGTCGGGACTACACGCGGTCTAATTACTCTCCGTAACATATTGCGCATTAGATACACGTGCACGTCGAGAAATCGCGATTTCAGCGGTCAACGATAATGACATTCATCTCGCTAGAAAATCATTTCTATAGGTCTCAAATACAAATAACGAGATGATGTTTTGCTACGTTCTGAATAACACATTCTGCAACTCAGAAATTATAACATTGAGGATTTTATTGACATAATTTGCCACAGAACAGAAATGTGTCTTTTTAATTAAAAAGAAAAGATACAATAAAGTCTTTTTGTTTTACAAAATAAATTTTTTATAATTGAGGTTTGAATAATTTTTTATTTTTTGCACTTTGATATTTTTTTATATTGTCACGATTAACTTCCGTGCTTCGTGTGAACGTGAGGGTGACTGCTTAACTGTAAAAAACGACGCGACGGCGATGCAATAATTATGCATGCATGCGAGATCGCATACGTGTGTGTGAGTGTGTGTAGCCGATGCGTCGGAGGGCATGCGTTACTGTAAAGAGTTTGCTTTGTGACCGCGATGTTACTTTGTATAACGATGTGACTGATACGACGATCTCGCTTGAGAGAGAAACTTCCATGTTTCTCAAACTTAGCCGCCTCTTGCTTCCGCATAAAGTTTATATTACATTTTGCTTGATTACAGGCTTAAGCTTACAGGCTAATGTGATATATTTAGTTTTACAAGCATTAAATTATTACTTGTAATCACATTTTGAGTAATAATTTATGTGACAATAAAGAAGTAATAGTCTACTGTTAAATTACAAAACTTATTACTTAAATTTTAATTTTAAATATTTACATGAATCAAGAAACTTTAACTTTTTAGAAATTAAATTGTTGTTAATTAATAAAATCGGTATTGCTTTAGCTTTGGTGTATCAAAAATTTCATTACAAGTTACTTCTATGTATCCAGAATAATCTAACATTAGAGTAGTTTACAGTATATTCTCTCAAGCGAAATCTCTAATAAAGTAATAACGTGATTATAAAGCAACTTTTGCGGTATTAATTCTTCCAGACAAGTTGTGGACGTGGGTCTTCGTACAAGTCGTATAAATTCTAACTTCCTCGCATATCATATTGTACTATTGCATGAATTTATTGATCGATCGAATCGAATCGATCTAACAGCTGAACGAAACCTTCTATGAGAATTTGGGTATTTGCGAATTTCTCATTAGTCATCGCGATCTGATAAATTACTTCCAAAAATATACCAAAAATATAAGAGAGATTAGAAAGAGATTGGTTTGAATGAAAATAATTACAATTAAAAAAATTCAAATACGAATTAATTTTAGAATCAATAAAATACGATTATTTATGAAACTGCGCTCGATTATATTCGAGTTGTGTATATCATATTTCTAAGATTGCGTACCATTAGATTAATGAAGAAATGTCCTTAATTAAATACAAATATTTCTTCATTTATTTAAATTTTATGTTAAATTGTTATACCACCAAGTGGTTTTAAAGTATAAGAATTTTACAGTTCCTTTTATACGAGATTTCCGAAGCTTAATGATTGTAATAACTTTGACGAGTTGGACGAATTTAAAATGATTGGAGAAGCATCATAAGTTCTATAAGAAAGATAGAGGAGAAATTCAAAGATAATTTTACAAAGGTGATTCTTTTAATACATAGAAGTAAATAATCACCATCTCCTGTTACAATGTTCTAAAAATGATGTTGTCCATTGAAATTTTATAGAACAATTTTGTTATTTAATGTAGCATTATTAAAGAAATACAATTAAAAGAAAGAAGAAAAGGTGCGTCAAACGCAATACGTATAAAAATTTATAATAAGTATTATTATATTATCACAAGTATTACTAAATTACAGAACTCTTACTGAGTATGTCTTTAAGCCATATGCGTCAATGTTAGTCAAGTATGAAATGCACAATGTTATTGCATTTCAAGTAATATGCAAAAATACAAACTTAATTAAAATATATAATGAATTATTATATAAGTAATAATGTAATAAATTATTATATATTTTAATTAAATTATTGATACATATTTTAATATTAACTATATTAATTAAAAAATTAGTAAAAAGATAATTATCTTTATACATATTTTAATAAAAAGTTTAATGAATCATGTGCAATCCTCTTGAAAAACATTTCATAATATTCATAACATTTACGATCATGTATTAGTATTGTAAAACTAACAACTTATATCTAATTTTCAACATTTTAATAACACATTTATTTCAAAATTAACAATTTAGATGCATAAAGGCTTAAAGTTCTGCAATTTTATAATGCAAACAAATAGAATAATCTGTAACCGTCAATTATGTCATATCCAACGATCATTCTCTTCCAGCCTTGTGCTTCGAGATTCGTGTTGCAATAATATACAGTTAATATTTAAATCTTATTAAGATGTTAAAACAAATGTATCAATTAATTTAGTTATTAGGCAATTGCGAAGTACGAAGACCCGCGGAATCGATTATACCAGACATAGTTTCAAATATTTTGCAAGAAAGGAACAGAAAGACAAGCAAATCGCCGAAATTGTAATGGTTATCCAATTATTTATTATTTATTGAAATTAATTAATTTCTTGCGTTACTATTTAAGTTGTTATGCTTAATAATAATAGCAAAATTTATTATTGAAGTAAATTATAAAACAAATCTGATTAATTTAACATATAAAATGAATGTACATTATGTTCTTTTTTTTATGTTCTACATTAGATATAAATGTTAACTATGATTATTTTGAATTTCACAATGCTTTGATGAATTGATCTAACATTTTCTTATATCAGATATCTACAAACATTAAAAGACGCATGGAGTTAAATGTTAATTTTAACTGCTCGAAGCCGAGAATAAATATGATGGTTCCAATTGAACATATCAAGGCCTTGTAGAAAAGGCCAGCCAATCTCTGGATTTCTATTCTAGTTTCGCATTGATTCAATTTTTTCGACGCTTTTTCTCGCGACAGGAAACGAGAGTTCGTGAAACGGCTCGATCGCGCAGTGGTGCGCAGCTTCCAAGAGCTATCTTGGAAATAATGTACGATCTGATATAAATATGCAGGAAAATCCTGTCCACTGGAGCTGTCGTTCATTTATTTATATATAAAAGTATATAACCAACCATTCTTTTCTATTTAAGTTAAAAGAATATCTCTATTTCTTTTTAAATATCTTCCTTGAATATAATGTAGTACATGTTATATTGTATTAGTTTAATTTAATTTAATTATATAATTCTTGAAATTGATATAATTTATTAATTATATTACTAAATATTATTTATAATAAATTTTTTTGAAAAAGTTTTTAAACAATATTAAATAATTGTTATACTATTGTTGGAAACTTATTAATTGTTAGAGGAGGTTAGTAATTAATTTTTTAATTTTTTTCTTATAAAAACATAAGCATCAGAAATACATTTATATAACTTATATTTTTATACATTTATATGATTATTGATTTCAAAGCATGTACAAGAAGTGGCCTCTCGTATTCCATTTAGGAAGTACCAAGTAAAGCTTGGTTTATCAATGAAGCTTAATTTTCTCATTTGTTGATAATTAAAATAAATGGAAATTTAAACAGTTATTTTTTTCATATTTGTATAGAAGTTAAAATATCACATAATTTAATTTTAACTTTTTTCTTCCTAAATTTTATTACTGATAATACAACTTAAAATGCTTAGTTAGCAGCTTCCAATAAGAGTGACTAGCTTTCCTATTGACTGCTAATATATTAAAAAAATATATACTTTTCAAAATATTTGTGAATTTTGTATTATTTTCATTAAAATAATAATTAATTATTCTACAGTTCTAATTAACAACGGACAAACAAAAAATTAATTTCAATAATTTTCCACACTAGTTAAACTGAATGTCTGCCACGAGATGGCGAGAATGAATCTTTTAACAAATTATTTCGCCGATAAATTTAATGTATACAGGTCTGTATTTTTTAAACATTTATTTGTTAAATTTTATTTGAATACGTCATATAAAATATTTTGGAATTATTTTAAATC